GTACTTGTTGGAATGCAGGAGAGAGAGATATATCATAATCTACACTTGGAAAATCCTACAAGGAATGGTCCCGAATCTGCACACAGAAATCACTCCCTACGAAAGTCAAAGATGCAGGCGATGCAAAATACCCCCAATTAAAAGTAGGAGCGCCATTGGTACAATAAGAGAAAGCACCATAAGTGTCCGGGGCCCAAGACTGTTCAACAGCCTCCCACCAAGCATAAGAATTATCAATAGGCCCCTGGCTGCCTTCAAGAGGGAGCTGGACAGATACTTCAAGTCAGTGCCGGATCAGCCGGGCTGTGGTTCGTACGTTGGCCTTCGTGTGACCAGCAGTAACAGCCTGTTTGATCAGGCCCTGATCCACAGAGAGGCCTGGTCGTGGACCGGACCGCGGGGGGCGTTGATCTCCGGAATAACCTCCAGGTAGACTCCAGATACCTCTTGATCGCTTCTGGTAAGTTCCCCACCTTCTTTCCTCAGCCTGATCACCTGGTCTTTGACTGTTGTCTTCCTCCTAATGTGGCTATACAGCAGTTTTGGGTCAGACTTGGCTTTCGATGCTATGTCGTTTTCGTACTGTCGCTGGGCCCCCCTCCTTATCTGTGCATACTCATTTCTGGCTCTTTGACTAGTCTCTTTATTTTCCTGGGTCCTTTGCCTCCTGTATCTTTTCCATTCTCTGTTGCACTTAGTTTTTGCCTCCATACCCCTTCGGGTAAACCAAGGACTCGCTTTGGTCTTCCCATTATTTTATTGCCCTTGGGAACAAATCTTTCCTCTGCCTCCCTGCATTTTGTTGTTACATATTCCATCATTTCATTTACTGATTTTCTGCCAATTCTCTGTCCCACTGAACCTCCTGCAATAAGTTCCTCATACCTGTGTAGTCCTCCTTTTTGTAGTTTGGCTTTTCCTATCCAACTCTGTTACTCTCTCTACTTGTAATTCTACTATGTATTCAAAACACAGAACCATGTGATCACTAGCTCCAAGGGACCTCTCATATGTGATGTCCTCAATGTCTGAGCTACTCAGGGTGAACGTAAGGTCCAGTCTTGCTGGTTCATCCTCCCCTCTCTCTTTGGTAGTGTCCTTAACATGCTGATGCATGAGGTTTTCCAGTACCACATCCATCATCTTGGCATTCCATGTTTCGGGACCCCCGTGTGGCTCCAGGTTTTCCCAGTCGATCTCCCTGTGGTTGAAATCTCCCATAACCAGTAACTTTGCTCTGCTCGAGTGAGCTCTTCTTACCACCTCGGCCAGTGTGCCCACCATGTGGGTACTCACCTAGTTGAGGTTGCAGGGGTCGAGTCAAAGCTCCTGTCCCCGGTGTGTGTGTGTGTGTGTGTGTGTGTGTGTGTGTGTGTGTGTGTGTGTGTGTGTGTGGGTGTGGGTGTGTGTGTGTGTGTGTGTGTGTGTGTGTGTGTGTGTGTGTGTGTGTGTGTGTGTGTGTGTGTGGTGTGTGTGTGTGTGTGTGTGTGTGTGTGTGTGTGTGTGTGTGTGCGGGTGTGTGTGTGTGTGTACGTGTGTGTGTGTAGAGAGAGAGAGAGAGCAAGTTTATGACCTCAGGCACTTGGAGGGTGATCTGTCATTCTTATCTGAGGAAACTCAGATAAGAATCGCAGGCAGTCTTTGCCAGCCAACAGAAGTGTAGAGTTGAGGAGAGTTGGATGGTGTAGAGAGTGGAAGTTATTGAGGTAAGTGAATCTTTTGTCATGTTAACGAAATCTTAATTCGAAATATATAAAATTGTGCCAAGTGAAATATTTTGTTGTATTGCCGAAATCTTAATTCGTGACATGTAAAAACTGAAACAAGTGAAAATTGTGGGTTGTGGGTTGTGGGTGTTGTTGTTGAACTAGATATACCAAAAAGAGGTTTAAGTTGTGGGTGTTTTGGGTTGTGGTATTTGTGGGTTATGAGTGAGATAAGAACGGGAGAATTGTCAGTTATGAGTGGAATTTGTATCTTTTTGTTGAATTGAGACAGGTGAATTGAGGGTGAATAGTGTGTGACATGTATCTTTTTTCTTGTATTAGGGAAAAATTGTAAGTGTTGTGGGTGTTCTGTTTTTGTGGGTATTAATGAGACAAGTGAAGGTTAAGTGTTGTGAATTGTGGGTGAGATGGAGGTGGTCAGTTCATGGGGTGACCTGTGATCTTATCTGAGGTAACTCAGATAAGACCACAATGGCTGTCAATGACGTCACACCCAACCTGGCATGATCACAGTTGTTCTAACATGACGCACTTTTAGTTCACTTAAGTTAACAAGAGGAAAGTAATAGTGAGATGTTTGGGTGTTGTGAAATGTTGTAGGTTATAAGTAGTGAGTATAATAATGTTAATGTCTCTATGTGGATTCAAGGAGATGGGTATGGAGAGGATTGTATTAGAATTTTAATGAAACCTGCAGATTTTGTGTAAATTTTAGTGAAAATAAAGGTAATGTGTGAATGTTTTAAAAAGAAAATATAGAAGTGAAAAGCTATGGAACCAAAGCAATCATAGTACTAGGGGGAGAGAGCACAACTTTGTAGTACCCACAGTCAGTGGCCAGGCTTCAAACACCTTTTATTGTACAGTAATAAAGGAATGGAACAGACTGCCCACAAATGTCAAGGCCAGTCATAGCTTGAACCAGTTCAAGAAGACTGCCAAAAAGTGTCTGATGAATGAAGCAACAGAAAGGGAGGGGAATGATTTTCTATTTTTTAGCTAAAATACGTGTAAATTTTACCTTATCCCTAGTAATGACCCTCGTATTGTAGATAGTCGTAATGACCCTCGTGTAGTAGATAGTCTTAATGACCCTCGTATTGTAGATAGTCTTAATGACCCTCGTGTAGTAGATAGTCTTTTTAGTATGATAATAAGATGTTATCTTCATTATAGAATAATAAGAAAATATTATAACCTTTATATTATAATAATAAGGTAAAAGGACCCCAATGGAAATAAGTCACTCTGTCTGACTTTTTTGGGTTATCCCAGGTTCTCTACACATATGCTGCTATGTATGATAATTCTATGTAACTGTATTGTGTATACCTGAATAAATTTACTTACTTACTTACTTACTTACTTACTTACTTACTATGATAAATTGGAAAAGATTGGAAGGTGAACCCCCAATACCTGGGACCCGGAGGTTGTAGACACGAGGCAATAGTTGGGTAGTGTGATGTTTAGGTGTTGTGAAATGTTGAGGTTTATGAGTGAGGGGGGAGTGAGATGCTGGGAGATGGGTGTGTGGATGTGAAGAGGTGAGGTGTAGGGGAGATGGGGGGGGGGAGTCAAAATTCGAAAATTTTAAAGGGTACCTATGGGAGGAACTCAAAACATGTCCACCATTTGGTGGTATATTTTATATGGAGTAAATCTTGATCCATGGAGATGGAGCATGGAGAAATTTCAAGGGTTACCTGTAGGGTAAAGTAAAAAAATGAGGTAATTTGGTGGTACATTCAATTTGGAGTAAAAAGATGATCCAAGGAGAAGGAGCAGGAATATTAGGCTTAGAGGGTATGGGTGATGGAAGTGAAGAGGAGAGGTGAAGGGTGGGAGATAGGGAGGGTGATCTTGATCCAAGGAGATGATGCAGGGATTTGAGGGAGATGGAAGTGGGTATTGGGAGGTGTAAGTGAGATGGAGAGGAAGGTCTTGATTCGAGGAAGGCGAGGATAACTCAAGTATTTTTCTTTGTATTATTGATATTGAGAAAAAATTGAAAAAATCTAAATTTTGAGGAAATAAGGGGGTTAAAACTTGATCCAAGGAGATGGAGAGCACAAGAATATAGAGAAAAATCGAAAATTTGAGGAAAAAGGGGAAACATTCGTTTATTCAATGGAGGTCTTGATCCGTGGAAATTAACGGTAAAGTAAAAAAAAAAATCTAAAAATCCCCCCAATTCGAAAAATTTGATCCAAGGAAGTAAAGGGTGACTAAAAAATCGAAAAATCAAAGTAAATCTTATTCCAAGGAAGTAGAGGGTAAAGCAAAAATTCGAAAAATTGAGGTAAAGCTTGATCTGAGGAAGTGGAGGGTAAAGTCAAAATTTGATGGTATTCTCGAGATCTGGCAACATTCTCGAAAAGTCGGTAAAACTCAAAAATTCGAAAAATTCACCCCCCAATAATTCGAAAAAATTAATCCGAAGAGCGGGGGCGATCTGGGAGTAAAGGGATGGGTAGGCAGGTGTGGGCGGGCCGACGCAGGTGGGCGGGCAGAGGGGGAGGTCATTGCCGGGCGGGGGTGAGGTTAGGGTCATTAACACATAGGTGTGAATTTTCACACCTAGGTGTGAAAAGTTGGCTTCCTTTGATGAGCAGCTCTGGCACCGAGAACACTACTCACAGGTATCCCACTGTTCTTCACCTGAACAAACACAGAGTGCAGAGAATAATACTGGAGACAGCAGAACACATAATGATGTTGTTTGTGGAGATTTTCAGTCTTGATAAATTTTAGTCCATCAAGACTAAGGGACTGAACACTTTTCAAGACTGAGGGACTGATCACCTGAACTTACTTCTACATGTCTTGCATTACATTATACCATCCTGAACAAGACCGATATTTGTGAAGCAGTTCCTTAATCTTCCGACAGGAGATTGTCACTCTCTGTCGGTTCTGTATGTTTTCAAACCATTTTATTTTTTATTTCGATATTCCAGACATTTATTTTGACTGTTTAGATTTTAAGATAAGATTTATTTAGTCTTTCTTCCATTTAGCTATACAAACTATTATATATTCATATAGTGATTTCAGTAAACGAATAATTGTTTTAGATTTTGTGCTGATGTTTATGTAGATTTAACATAATTAAAAAGTAAATTTAATTATTACTAATTAGGTCTTTTTAACATCAAAGAAATAAAACTCCATTCTATATTCCTCTGATGTATCCTTAGTTTGTAACTGGAATATGTTAGTTAAACTTTGTATTTAGAACAGCAGGTCTCACATGTAAGTTCATTCCAACAGGAAACCTCCGGGTGTGTGACGATGGCAGGTGAAGCAGGAAGGTTGTGTGTGACGGCATGTGACGCTGGTCAGTTGTATGAGGCTGTAAAAGTGACCATCCGTCCACGACCGCAACGAGCCACTATCCACATCCTCCTCCTTATCCTGGCTATGCTCTGTGATTCACTGCCTGTCTGGGGTCAGTAAATACTATTGTCTCTGTTTTGAGGTAGGTGAATGTACGCTCTACGAGTTTATTTCAGTTACTAATACTATGTAAAGTATATCACTTCTTCCTCCAAAAACAAGGCAGACAAGGCAAAAATCACATCTGGTATTGGGCCCTTGCTCAGACAATATGGAACTTACGCAGATGACAACAAAGCAATGAGTGAGATACTGAAGTCTCAATACGACTCTGTGTTTAGCGAGCCACTAATCAGTCTAAAGGATTGGCCTATGTAACTGTATTTGTGTATTGGTCTATGTAACTGTATTTGTGTATACCTGAATAAACTTACCAGTCAGGGGATACCTTACTTTGTTTTTCAATCCGGTTGGATGTTAAGGGCACCTAGAAAACTGTCAGATTAGAATCCGGTCATGAGTTCACGAATCCGGACGAATCCGGTCAGTGGATCACTTTTTTTATCTTTATTTACTACAAGTACATGTACATGGTATACAGGCCTTGTTGACATCAGTGACATACTACTATATAGAAAGCCCCTTGTTATGCTCAGCATTTCGGGCAAATTAGGTCAGTGTCCCAGGATGCGACTCACACCAGTAGACTAACACCCAGGTACCCATTTTACTGATGGGGAACATCGACAACAGGTGTAAAGAAACACGCCCAGTGTTTCTACTCTGGCTGGGAATCAAACCCACGCCCTTGCCGTGTGAGGCAAGAGCGTTAGCCACCAGGCCGGTGATTTAAACTAGCTCGTGTAAAGGACTACTGGAATACGTATTATTTAGCAGAGTAATATGTGATCAGTTTGATACAAAAAGGCGTAACTTGCATGTTGGAGAAACCAGTGACTTACCTGGAAGTTATTCCGGGGATCAACGCCCCTGCAGCCCGGTCCATGACCAGGCCTCCCGGTGGATCAGGGTTTGATCAACCAGGCTGTTACTCCTGGCCGCATGCAGCCCAACGTACGAGCCACAGCCCGGCTGATCCGGCACTGACTTTAGGTATCTGTCCAGCTCTCTCTTGAAGGCAGCCAGGGGTTTATTGGTAATTCCCCTAATGCTTGATGGGAGGCTGTTGAACAGTCTTGGGCCCCGGACACTTATGGTGTTTTCTCTTAGTGTACCAATGGTGCCCCTACTTTTAATTGGGGGCATTTTGCACCGCCTGTCCAGTCTTTTACTCTCGTAGGGAGTGATTTCTGTGTGCAGATTCGGGACCATTCCTTCCAGGATTTTCCAAGTGTATATTATGATATATATCTCCCTCCTGCGTTCCAACGAGTACAAGTCAAGTGCTTCCAAGCATTCCCAGTAGTTAAGGTGCTTGACAGAACTTATACGTGCATTAAAGTATCTCTGTACACTAGATCTGCAATTTCACCTGCTTCGAATGGAGATGTTAATGTACAGCAGTATTCCAGCCTAGAGAGAACAAGTGATTTGAAAAGGATCATCATTGGGTTGGCATCTCTCGTTTTGAACGTTCTCATTATCCGTCCTATCATTTTCTTTGCACTTGTGATCGTGGCACTGTTGTGATCCTTGAAAGTGAGATCCTCAGACATTACTACTCCCAGGTCCCTTACATTATTTTTCCGCTCTATTGTATGGCCAGGGTCTATAGTTTACTCTGTTCTAGTTATTATCTCCTCCAGTTTTCCATAATGGAGTAGTTGGAATTTGTCCTCATTGAACATCATATTATTTTCCGTTGCCCTCTGGAAAACTTTGTTTTTATCTGTCCTCAGCAGATGACAGCTTCATGCAGATCCTAGTATCACCCGCAAAGGATGATACGGTGCTGTGGTGTATATCTCTGTCTATGTCTGATATGAGGATGAGGAATAAGATGGGGGCGAGTACTGTGCCTTGTGGAACAGAGCTCTTCACTATGGCAGCCTCCGATTTAAATCTGTTGACCACTATTCTTTGACCCCCGGAACTCTCTCCAGGTAATCTCCAGGTAAACTCCATCTCCCAACTTTCCCAGTTATTCTGGCAGTTCCTACTATAACGAACGAAAGCCCTAAATTTTTCCCACCTCCACCAGATCAAATGTTATTTTATCACTATTGTTGGCTATGGTAGGGCGACTGGTTAAGAAAGATTTCCGGAAGAATATTTGCTTTCCGTTTGTATATTACGACCACTGTCAACTACAGGACTTTCTGCATTTCCACAAGTAACTGTATACTTCGCGTATTTCAAAAAAAGAAAAATGTTCAAATTTTCGTCACTCCACCACACTAAGTACCCTTGTGTTACTGTTATTAACTATGGCAACACTGGTGAATAGGTTTCTGATATAAATGGTTTTATGCTGGGGAATATGCTTCATTATTACGCTGATATCAACATTACGGCTTATTTATCTATCACAATTGATCTAATATGACATAAAGAAAGTCTAGAATGAATAAAATAGGCCATAAAGCGACGAGTGGTTGCGGTCAGACCCAAAGTATAATAATTACCGCTCTGATCATATCGTTCTCTCCTGGCCTTCTGAGGTCTTAATGTAAGAGAAAACGAAGTGTTTGTAAGGCTGACTGTACTAGATCACAAGTTTCATACAGAAAAAAAAAGCGATTTTCTTGATTTTTTTTTCACGAGTCTTAAGGTATGCGAGCGTCTTCACTGAATATCTCGGAAGTTATTGATTTATTTCATGAAAGATATCATTTACTATTGAATTAAATTAAATGATTTTCGCAAGAATCATAAAACAATGATTGTTCTACAAGCCGACGAAAAAATATTGGAAATATTCCAAATATTTTGGGATTTGTGTGGGAGTGAAGGGTAGATATTTCTGCAAAATGCCAAAAACTTAGCCACTTTACTTTTTTGTAGAATAAAGATAAGATATTTAGAGGGTTTTACTTCATCAAAAAATCGCATTAGCATTGTTTTATCAGTAGCAAGTCCCCCAAAACCTTTTGTAGTGCCATTTAGGGCACCTTTGTTGCCAAATGTCATTTTCAGTAAATCTTTTTTTTTCAGTTTCTTTTTCTGGGCTATCTTATTGAAACTTACACACAATAAGTAGAATGAACACTTCTTAACGTACACCAAAAATGAAAGAAATCGGACTAGAACAAAAAATTAGCATGATCCTCCCTCTTGAGAACTACCCGAGGAGTATGGAGAGAACGACAAATTTTACGGGAGAATATCGCTACTTAGCCTTAACAAGAGAATATACTCCCCTGGGTGTCATTCCTCGCCTAGCTGCCGGTGAGTGTGGATGCTTTCTGCACCTCTCTGACCTGCGCTAGTACTAGCTAGGCTGACACAATGGTGGTCGGTGTGCGATGCAGGGTCAACATGGTCGGCATTTAATTATTGAGAGTAGCAATTAATCAGGAGTCGGCGCTGCTGTTGTTGCCTTTGATCATAAGGGAGACATATGGGATTGAGGATCAGGATCTTTACAGTGTTGCCTTAAACGGTAATTACAGGATGTTTGTGAAGCTGCTGTCTTCACAGGTGTATGAGAGCCTACTCGATCGTTATCAAGATGTCGGTATTGAGGTTAATGAAGAGATTCAGGTGAGGATGATTGACGTTTTGCGTCAATTTACGTATGTTAAGTTACGTAATGTGCTTTTTGAGGCAAATGAAGTTGACCTCCGAAGTGTTGCTAGCAAGTTTGGCACCATACATGTAGCACAACAAGGCAAGTGGATGGCAGGGGCGTATGAGGGTTATCCTGAAGGCACTTTTAGCCTAAAGATGACTCCAAGGTAACCAATACCATCGTAAGTGTTCTTGGAGGAATTCAGAACACAAATCCTCGTTATGTACGCTGGACAACGCTGGACTTGTAGGATGTGTGATGGTTGTGATCACATGGCAGCGGAATGTGGGAGGCGGAGAAAGGAACAGGGGATGTCAAGAAGTGAAGGTTTGTGTCAGGGGTCTGTGGTGAATGATCGGTACCGTCAGGATGGACGTAGGTGTGTTCGGTTGTGGAGTGAGGAAGTGGAGGAATGGCAGAGCGTGGTGGAGACCGAGGGAGATGTGGAGCAGCTGGGTGCGTCTGAAGCGGGCATGGAGCAAGAGGCAGAGAAGGAAACAACAAGTGATGTGGAAACTGATGCAGTGCTTGAGAAGGTTTTGAAGGAAATTTTCCCTAAATCGGGGGAGACCTTGCCAGACGAAAAGATAGGAGACCAGGTGACAGGGCATGGGGAAGAGGAGCACAGGCCTGGAGGAAGGGATAGAGTGTTTGATTGGCCAAGCAGTGAGGAGGGGAAACAGGTGGTAGAGGTGGTGGTGCACAATGAGGAGGGTCAGGAGACAAGTATGAAGGAGATAGTGTCGTGAAAAAGGGCAGCAGCCATGTCTGATTCAGATGATGTCCTAACACCGGCACAAAGACCCGGGAAAAAGACTGGGGTTGACGGGGGTGTGCAGAGGCAAGGAGAAAAAGGAATGCCAGCAAAGGTTTAGGGGTGGAGTGGGAGAGGAGTGGGAGTGACAAGGACAGTGTCTGGGGCTTTAGGACAGTCAAAAAATGAAGGGGGGGGGGAGGCATGGGTGGAAATTGTAAGCAGGCCTAAGGTGTATGACAATCAGTGTGAATGGTTTAGATGCTAGTGGTAAGACTGAATGGTTGCGAGGAATGTTGTATCATTACAGGGTGGATGTGGTGTTTGTTAAAGAGCATAATTTGAAAGTTGGAAAAGTGCTGGAAGTGAATGGATACTGGGCTTTTGTAATGCCATTGGTGCATTTAAAAGGGGGAGTAGGCTTTTTAATTTGTGAGGCAAGTCCTTTTGTTTTGCAAAGGTACGAGGGGGGGGGTGAGGGAAGAATCATGAGGGTAGATGGATGGTGGATGAATGACCATGTGTCTTTTATCGAGGTATATGTGCTGGCAGAGAGCGATGCAAGGGTAAAATCGGCATTCGTAAGGGAGGATCTTGTGTACTTCTTGAGAGCACTACCCCCGGTAGCATTGATAGGGGGAGATTGGAACTGTGTAATAAGGAGAAT